AAAATGCAATATATGCATATAAGAATTTTAATTCAAAAAATCTCTCCCTGAACTTGCATTTAATGATAAATCTTCATTGCATTTTATTTTCATATTTCAAAACAGGTTTAGACTTGTTAACCAACCCAAGGTCTCTTCTAGGAATGGCGGGGGGTTGACATGATTTTCTAACTCATAATTCTATGTTATATCTGCTATTTACTCTTTGGTGACATTCTCCATGCTTCAATTAAAAAAAAATCACAAGAACTTCTATAAGGAAGAGCCCAGAATGGTAAGTTACAGATTTAATTTTGTCAGTTCTGACTTAAACTATATAACTTAACCTGAGAATGGTATTTGTTTTGTATTTTAAATAAACCTCATATTTAAGATGTACAACATGATATTCACATATTATAAAAATGGTTATGCTAGTGTAAATTAGCAAATCTATAAATCTATCATAGATTTAAATGTGAATCTATAATCTCACATAATAATAATAATAATAATAATAATAATAATCATGAAAGCATTAAACACAAGCAAATTCTTCTTGAAAACACTTAATTTCTTCTTCTGCTTCCAGATACTTTTGCATCTGGAATCTACTCATTTAGGAAAAGTTCTGAATGCACTGAGTACATTATTACTGACTGCACCTATCTCTAGGTTTTACATTGACTGCACCTATCTCTAGGTTTTACATGGCTGCTTTGTATGACTTAAAAAGAAAAGGCATGAGTTTGGTACAAATTGTATAGTAGAACAATGTCAAAGACTAAATTCATTAATAAGTAATCCAAGAAAACTATAAAGCTGAGACAAAGGGATATTGTGGATAGATAATGAATCGAAGACAGAATATTGAGATACAATTAAATTCCAAGATGTGTGTTCATGCCTGTCATCCTAGCTATTCAGAAAACTAAGCTGAGAACTACTGTTCTCAGAGTCTGGGCAGGAAAGTCTGTAGACTCTTATTTCCAATTAATCAATGAAAATCTGGAAGTAGAGTTGTGGTTCAAGTAGTAGAATGCTAACCTTGAGCAAAACAAAACAAACAAAACTCCAGGACAATGATCAGGCCTTGAGTTCTAGCCCCAAGACTGGCACTAATAGTAATAATAATAACAATGATAATAATAGTAAGTTTTATATAGAGCAATTGATGTTCTTCATGGCAATGAAACTAAAACTTTTTGAATTATCTTTTTTTTACTAGAAAATGTAATTTGTATTACTCCTTAGCAAAAATCATTGGCACATTTATGCATTACTTCTTTTTTTAAAAAGTTAACACCACACTTCGCAGCTTCAGCCTAATCAATAAGTAGTATAGAAATACATTCTTCTGTTAAATTGGATAATCTTTGAGGGAGATTGTAAGACTGTACTACATCAAAGAAAAAGGAAAAAAAACTTTGTGTGCCTTGTAACAAATTAGCACTACAAAATCTCAGGGCTTTGTATGTATGATTTCACTTTTGTTCACATACATTGTTTTATAAAACTGGTTTTGGGAATTTTTATCTATCTACTGCTGTAGATAGCCAAATTCATTGCTAAAGCAATAGCACACAACATATAATACTCATATGGAGTATTATGCTCATAAGGAGTATTATAATAATATATAATTTGTATATAATATAGTACAACATCATATAATATAATAATAATCCACAAGAATATTATATGTAATCTAAAAGGCACATTATATATAGTCTACATCACACAGAAGAAAGCATTATTTTTAAATTCAGACAATTTTATAGATTCAAAAATATAACTTCTTGGGCTGGGAAGGTGGCTCAGTGGTAGAGTGCTTGTCTTGCATGCAGGAGACCCTGGGCTGGATTCCTCAGCACCACATAAGCAGAAAAATCTAGAAATGGTGCTGTGGCTCAAGTGGTAGAGCATTAGCCTTGACCTAAAGGGCGCAGGAACAGTGTCCAGGACCAGAGTTGAGGCCCCACGACTAACAACAACAAAAAATCTTTCAAATTAACTATTTAAGATTTTTTGTGTGTGTGGGAGTGTGCCAGTCCTAGAGCTTGAATTCAGATCTGTTTCTGAGTTTTGTTTTGTTATTTTTTTTCTTATGTCACTTGTGGGAACTCTGAGCCTGGGAGCTGTCCCTCAGCTCTTCAGTTCAAGACAAGCACTCTACCACTTGAGCCACAGTGCCACTTCTGGGTTTTGGGTGGTTAATTGGAAATGAGTCTCAAGGACTTTCCTATCTTTCCTGGCTTTGAACCTCAATCCTCAGATCTCAGCTTTGAACCTCAATCCTCAGATCTCAGCCTCTGAGTAGCTAGGATTACAGGCGTGAGCCAAGGGTGCCGGGATTGTTTCTGAGCTGTTTTATTCAAGGCTAGTGCTCTACCACTTAAGCCACAGTTTCATTTCTGACTTTTTGATGGTTAATTTAAGATAAGAATCTCAAAGACTTTCCTGGCCTGGCTAGTTTCTGACTGTGATCCTCAGATTTCAGCCACCTGAGTACCTAGGATTACAGGCATGAGCCACTGGAGCTAGGCCCAGAAATCAACTTTTTAAAACTTAGTCTTCTTATTTTGCAGTTATCACTTGTATTTTTTTCTATTTAGGTATTGTTAGTGTTCATATTTTGTACTTCTTTCAGCTTTTAACAATAAGACTTTTTGCTTTTCCCCAAGCTTTATTGATGTGTAATTGACAAATAAAAGTGTATATATTTAATATATACAAACTTGTCTGTACTTAATTTTTGTACATCAAAGAGCTTGTCATGAAAAGTATTAATACGGTATTTTATATGAGGAATAACAACATCCTAAACGAAACTCATTTGTGATAACTTGAAAGTCAGCATATGGTTATGCTAATAAATTTGTAATGTTTCCTTTTTCTCTATTAAAAGTCTTGTACTTAAAAAAGTAGTACATGTATGGCATATGTTAACAAGGGTGGAAGAAACTACAACATACACAGAGATAAGGCTGGGTTTAGTTGAATTGCCTGAAAATGTTACATTAATAAGTAAATATTATAGCTTTAGTTGATTATGTTTCAAGAAACAGAATGGTGGACTTCATTAAAAGCATATGTGTGTGTATTCATATATACATACATGTTTGTATATTTGTTTTCCAAGCAATTCAAACAGAAATATTGCCAGGGTTATATATGTTTATTCCATGTAAAGTCCATATTTACTTAACACTATATCCCCTCATAATAAATAGATATACATATTATATAATAAATATATACATATTATATAACAAATATATATATACATATTATATAATAAATATATATACATATTATATATTATACATAATATATAATATGGAAGTGTGTATATTTGCTTTAAGATGGATTTGGATTCTTAAATAATTGTATCTCCTAGGACTACAAAAAAATGCACCCCAATTATAACAATGACTTTTATAGATTTAAAAAGTATATAAGGATTTGGGACAGATGATTATTGTGTTATTTATTACATAAAATTATAACAAAAATTCAATTTCAGATATTGAAATAATAGACGAACCACATGCATATCTAAATGACAGATAGAGGTCTGGGAAAAAATTATGACCATAGGTAATGAAAAAAATCATTTCCTGTGTGTTGTAGGATTCTAAATAAGAATTACGGAAACCATGAGATAGCTCTCTTTCTTTGGTGCTGTTGGGAACAGAGGAGGATTCCCATGGAAGTGCATTTCCGTGAGGCCTTGCTGTTTTTACTAGATCCTACATAGTCCTAGCCTGCAGTGAGATTTTCAGCCACAACCCACTGACCTCCTTTCCTTCCCTCCCAACCCTCCCCAGGGAAGCCCTGGATTGGGAGTAGGGGTAGAGGAGGAGTCATATGAAAGGGGTGTGACTGGTAGGGGGGCGGGCCTGTTATGATGGGGGCGGGCCGATAGAGTTGCTGTCAAGACTTTGAACAAAATACTAGAAGTAAAGTCCTGGGAAATGGTCTGGGAGATCTTGACACAGCATTTTCCACACAGTATGGTGGTCTCTGCTGTGGTTCTGCCATGTTGGGACTCTCTCATGTGTGTCCACCAGTACCCAGATTTTTATCCTAGAGGTCATGGGTTCAAGCTCTTCTGTAATTAGGTGAAGTCAGTCCAGCCCTAGGCCTCCATTGTGCACAGTTCCATAAAGCTTATTCTCTCCTGTAGCTGAGGCCTGGGAGGCAACACGCATTTTCCTCTGCAACTCTCAAGGCTCCTAGAGACACAGAAAATGCCAGGCAGGATTCAAGGGTGGGTGTAAATACAGAAGGAGTAAGAATGAATCCCCTCTGCAGATTCCCACCAGAGGCCACAATCTGGAGCCCTGGGGTACCCTGATAAATCAACTTCTGGAAGATGAACTTGAGTGTGGAGGTGTGCAGTTGAGAGAATCCTGTCATCATGAACTCAGAAACTCAGGGCCTTTACATTCCCAGGGGGCTGTGCGACGTGGCTTGAGCCAGTTTCCAGTTTCTCTCCTCATTAAATTAGTTTAAAGCACTGGCACTCGGGAGAGGGGAATTCTGTAGATAATCAAATAGGTTTATTTATTTTTTGGCCCTCATTCCTGCCTGCCATGATCAGATTACTTTTCACAGACTAGAGCAGGCTGGGAGGTGGAGGACGGGTGGGCGGGGCTTGGGAGTGGGGGTGGGGGTTGTGATTTACTTTTAAACTTTCAATATGTGTTCACCTTGTGTGGTTGGGTGTGGAAAGCCGGAAAAAAGGGGGGCTGAGGGGGTTCCCAATCGAGTGAAATTCTCATTCCATGGGTATTACTATGCCTGTAGGGCTGGCAGCATTAAATGTTTAGCTAGTCTGCAAATAACTACAGAACACAATAGAGTCCCCCCCCTTCCTCTCCCTCTCTCTCTTTTTCTTTTCCTGCTTCCAAGTGCTTTCTTAGAGGCTGGAGCTGGGCAGATCTCCAAAGGTGCAGCAGCCACAACAATCCCGCAGTTACACAACTTGCAGCAACTCTGTCAGCCTGCTGCTAATGAGCTGAAGGCCAGGAACATTGGAGGAGGTGAAGAAGAAGCTTCCAGACCTCCTCCCTTCACCCTAGAAACCCAGGATCCCCTAACCTCAGCCCCAGATCGCGTCCAGATCCAGTCCTGTTCTCTCACAGGACAAACACCAATGGCTCCTTTTGGAAGAAACTTGCTAAAGACTCGGCATAAAAACAGGTAAAGTCAAGGGTGCTGGCGTGTGTGTGTGTGTGTGTGTGTATCCTAAATGTGGAAATTTGTGCTTGGTTTCATTAAGATTATGATGAAAAAACTGTTTTGCTTTGGGGGGGGCACAAAATCTCAGGGAGTAGGGAGTTGCATCTAATCTGAACATCCAGCTTCTAAGGACCCATTCCAGTAGCGAAGCTGACCAGAGCCAGCACAAGGATGTCAAAAAAAATGATTAACTTTGACTCTCATTTTCCCTTTTGGTTAGTCTGATTCCACAACTAGTATCAACATTTCCCTATTTGTTGCCCTGAGCGTTTAAAGAACGTGGTGGCATGTCAAGCTTCATTTGGTACAAAGAGAAACGACAGAACGTTAACATGTACAGTTTGATGAAAGTATAGCTAGAATTCAGAGCCACCTGTTGGAATGAAAAATACACAGCTGCCGATAGAGTCAGGAAAAACAAGGTTTGCTTCTCCTGAGAGTGTGGCCATTCCTGAAAACTGGAACCTTGGGAAAGTGGTCTTTGGGAACTGGAGAGTTCCTAAGGAAACAACAACAACCACAAAAATACTTTGCAGAGAAACTTTTCATGAAATGGTTCATTCAAAAATCTTAGAGAATTTTAGATGACTTAGGCTCTGAAAAAGGATTCAAGTAGCTGATCCCTTTAAATCTTGTATTTCCTTGTCTTCTTTGATTTGATTTGATATGTCAAGCCTGCAATGCTTAAATACATGTACTTAATTACATATACACATATACATACAGGCACACACACATATATATATATGCACACAGAGATTTTCTTAGGCCTATACCTGTGTTTCAGTTTCATTACTTTATTTGCAACTCAAATACTTTATTTTCAGAAATGAGGATAATTTTAGAGATGGACTTTATATTTTTAATGTATCTGTTTTGGCAAAGGGGCTTTTCAACCTCTGTCTCTCAATTGTGCCTGTTGGTGCTTGTCATAATTTGCTTAGCATAAATTTAAGCAGATACAATTACATAGTAGGAAATGATATAATTATTTCCAAGTGTCTGCATAACAATATAGTGAAACAAGTTAAGTAAATCGCCATACTTTATTTTGTATAAAAATATCTACTTCAAATATTCTGTTTTTAATCCATTTTAAACATAGTAATGATTTTGTGACTAAATTTCCTTTAGAAACTAAACAAACATAATAATAAAAATGCTAGTCACTGTAAATATAAAATGTTATTTATAAAAGAACTATGTTTTCCTATGTATATTTTAGTAAAATTGTTTGTATATTTTTCAAAAGATGGTTGATGTTTATCAAAAGTTGATTCTTGTTTTAAAAATGACACTGTATTAAAAAAAATCCAGAAAAGCATCTCCACCTCTTCCTAACTTCATTTTTTAGATGATTTTATAGTACTATTATAATAAAATTGGCAATTGTTAAATGTCCTGAAAATATCTAAAAATTTACTCTGGAAAAGTTTATTGTGCTGTTAAACTAAATAACTTGTGTTTCTGGCAAACATAAAGTAGATTTAGAGAATTGCCATTGTGTTTGCTATATGTGTTTTTAAACTCCATCATTAGTATGCCAAGCAGCAGCTCCATAAAACTTTCCACACACCCCAGGGAGTTTTCCCAGGAAAGTACATCCTCACTTTCATGACATCAATTTTACTAACACCTCCATCTTTTCTATCCATTAAAACTAGTCATCATTCAAAATAAGAAGAGAAACTTTTTTTTTTTTTTGTCGGTTGTGGGGCCTGAACTCTGGGCCTGGGCGCTGTCCCTCAGCTCTTCAGCTGAAGGCTAGCAGTCTACCACTTGAGCCACAGTAACACTTCTGGCTTTTTCTGCTTATATGGTGCTAAGGAATCGAACCCAGGGCCTCATGCATGCAAAGCAAGCACTCTACCACTGAGCCACCTTCCCAGCCCCAAGAGAAACATTTTTAATAGGACATTTTCAAGGTAAGTTTTGAAGAAGTGCAGGAAGCAGAAGTACATAGATACTTTAGTAATGTTTCAGCTTTCTTTGGGAAAATGGAACCGTGCTTCTGAAGATGATGCTTTATTATGAAAGGAAGATTCTTGGCCATAGTGGTAAAAATAAGGATATATGTAAGCAGCTCTAATAACTGATTACTTCTCTCTGCAGATTTCTTTTTAATTAATCCAAAAGAAAAAAAAGTTAAATCACAGTAGTGGTGAAAAACATTAAACTATGATTATTCCAAAATGATTAGTGAATGAATCATGATGTTTTGAAATAGACTTTTGGGAGGCATTTATTCTTGCTTGTATGAAGCCTTTTGTGTTTTGTGTTGTTTTTCATCTTCTTAAAGAGGAAATCAGTGAAAATTAATCACATGATTAAGTTAATCCATTTAAGTTTTCAACATACAGAAATATGATGGATAAAACAAGGAGTAGTGAATTTATAGGAATATAGTCATATACAATACATATATTAAAATGTATATGACCATTGGCGCTGGGAAGGTGGCTCAGTGGTAGAGCGCTTGCCTTGCATGCTTGAGGCCCTGGGTTCAATTCCTCAGCACCACATAAGCAGAAAAAAAAAAGCCGGAAGTGGCGCTGTGGCTCAAGTAGTAGAGCGCTAGCCTTGAGCTGAGGAGCTGAGGAACAGCGCCCAGGCCCAGAGTTCAGACCCCACGACCAGACCCCCCCTCAAAAAATGTATATGACCATGCTCTATGGATTATATGTATATATAATATATGAATGTATGTACACCTTATGAATATTATTTTCTGTAGAGCACAAAATAAGCATTTTTAGAGTATGTATGTTTTGTGACATGTAACTTAATGAAAAGAAATAGTTGAGCATAACTGCATCTTCATCAGCACGAAAAAGAATATGTGGATCTGATAATTTTCCTGCATGCATTCACCTCTGTTCACTCTGGACTTAACCTGATTAGGGAACTGAGCAATTGTTCTTATAGTAATGGACTGTTGAGAGTCTTAGAGGTAAACAGGATGCAAATGAAACTTCAAAGAATGAAGCAGAAGAGCTTTTAGAAAACAAGGCTGTAAACTTGAAGAGGGTGTGGCAACATCTGTCTAGACAACATCATGTTTTCATGCCTTAGACGGTGCCTGCCTGGCATGTTGTGGACCTGTAATTCAGCAGTCCATTACATTTTGTAAACTAAATTATAATTTCTATCCAAATGAGAAACACAGTAATTATTTTATTCCTTATTCATCATGTGATGTCAGCTGGTATCTTATAAAACTCAGTATCTTTTAAGGGATTGAATGATGATATCATCCAAAACCTAAGGAGATAATCACATGATGTTTGGATTTTGACATAAAGCTAATTGTTCTCTGCCAGATAATTTATGAAACATCTGAGATTGAAGTTTCGACAATATTCTTCAGAAATTCCCAAGTAATGCTTTTGTCTGTCACAAAATAATTAAATTTGGGCTGGGAAGGTAGCTCAGTGGTAGAGTGCTTTCCTTGCATGCATGAGGTCTTGGGTTCGATTCCTCAGCACAACATAATCATAAAAACCAGAGGTGTAGATATGGTTCAAGTGGTAGAGCGCTAGCCTTGAGCTGAAGATCTGAGGGAGAGTGCCCAGGCCCAGAGTTCAGGACCCAAGACTGACATAAATAAATAAATAAATAAATAAATAATATAAACAAAAAAATAAATAAATTTGAGCATACCAACTTTTAGACATTTTTCTCAAACTTTCATATAAATAAAAATACATAGAGGCAGTTTAAAGATTTTAATGTGTACATTCAGGATAAATGATTTTAACGATTGATTATAGTAATGGTTAACTACAAGAATACATCTTTCAAAGTTTCTTGGTCTTAGGTAACATATTGTTTATTTTGGTTCCAGACAATAGAATGTTCTGATTGAAACCTGAAAACTGATGCACTTGTTGTTATTAAGAGCTTTGGTCAACCTGAAGAATAAAAATGGTGAACAGTAGAGCTAGTTTGTTCAACAAATTATTCACATTTCTAAATATGTTTTGTTCCATCACTTACTAAACAGCTATTGCTTCTTACATAGAACTCAAGTGAATAGTAATGGAACACTAATGCATTTTATATTCTTTTTTGATTTTTATTTTTTGTCAGTAATGGGGTTTGTACTCAGGATATGGGCATTTTCCCACTACCACTCTGAGCCACTATGGCACTTGCAGTTTTCTGGTGGTTAATTGGAGATAAGAATCTCACAGATTTTCCTGCAGGGGCTGGCTTTGAACCAGGATCCTTTGATCTCATCCTCCTGAGTAACTAGGATTACAGGTGTGAGCCACCAGTTCCCAGGTGTGCTTGATATTCTTGTGAATGTTCAACAATGGAATTTACATTATTAACTTAGCTATTCACACAAGTTCCATTTCTTGAATGTATCACAGGATTTTAGGAACAATTCTCAAAGCTCAGACACAGAATATTCCTATAATGCGTTTTGGACCTCTAGGTTTTCAGACATTATATATATATTTCAGACATTATATATATTATATATATACATACATACCTATATATGTCATGATATATATGTATATGTATACATATATATGTTTTTATTTTAGTTTTTCTCTTTTCTTTCTTTCTTTCTTTCTGATTTTTTTCTGAGATTGTCTCTATGTAGCCCAAGCTGACCATGAACTCAATATCCTCCTCCCTCAGCCTGTTGAGTGCTAGGAATCTAGACAAGGGCTACTTGGTTCTGAGAAAACATCTAATGGAGTTGATTAATAACATTTAGAAGAAAGATAACTGTTGGAACTTTTGCCACACTTTCCTAGAAAGCAAAATTTATCATAATGAAGCCATATTCCTTGGATCTGTCAGAAATACGAATTAGAATATTTTCCGTGAAGTGATGTGTTTGAATTATTTCTAGTCTTTTCCTCTTTTCCTAAATATGTGAATATATATGCTCTTCGTAATAAGAAGTATAATAATCTATAGTGTCTTCTTTCTGCAAAATGTGA